TCACGCCCTGAAAGACCTTCCTGGTTAGAGCGCTGTAGGCGACTAGGCGATCGCCCAATGGGCGGAGCAACAAATCAATACGTATCCTTCTCTTATCGCCTACTCGCCTAATCGCCTAATCGATTCGTATACTTTTCATTTTGAATCATCGCCTAATCGCCTAATCGCCTAATCGCACGTACGATCGCCAACTATGAACGCTCCATAAGCAGACGGTCGGGGCTTACTGTAGCGCCTAGTTCATCACATGTCGTTCCCTCCACTGATCGTTGCCGTAAAATTGACTGTATCCTACAACATCCCTAGGATCTGTTGTCCAACGGGGGGACATTGGCTACAAACGAAAGAAAACACGTCAAAAACGGTAATATTTGCCAGAGCGTTCAGGCAACTAATGAAAAAATACATGTCAGTACTAGAAAAAGCTGCTGAAACTTCAAGCAAAGCAGTAGTAAACAAGACCGAACATGTTTAAACGCTGGAATTCGGCTTCTCTCTATAGCAAGAGCTTCGTTTCCAAGCTTTGTTTGAACTTTTCGAGTTTTTCGTTCTATCATAGTTATGGAGCGTTCATAGTTGGCGATCGTACGTGCGATTAGGCGATTAGGCGAGTAGGCGAGTAGGCGATCAGGCGATGAGTAAAGGATACGTATCGATTAGGCGAGTAGGCGAGTAGGCGAGTAGGCGATTAGGCGAGTAGGCGATTAGGTGATATCTGGATTGTATGCAACACTTTGACAAGATCTGCTTTTACCAACTAGTAGTCTAGTGTATGGGTGAGAAGCTAATATGCATGTGCGCCTCAATTTTGACGACTAAGGAGTGCGCCGTGTGCAAATCGCCTAATCGCCTAATCGCCTACTCGCCTACAACGCCCTCAGGGCGGAACATACAAGTCGATACGTATGTAGTCTTCACCGCCTAATCGCCTACTCGCCTACTCGCCTAATCTATACGTATATTTTTCATTTAGACTAATCGCCTAATCGCCTAATCGCCAACTATGAACGCTCCATTAGTCTGAATTGTTTCATTTGGTAAACTATTGCAAGTTGAGCAGGTATAATAGCCTTGGACATGTAGAAGCTCAAACAACTATTGCAGCATCTCCAACCCCCTCCTTAATCCAAGGGAAGCCTCTCAGACACCTCTGTTTTTTATCTGCCTGGAATCCGCACCATGTGCAACAAGTTTAGGCATATTTCCTCTCGTTGGCATCACTACGAGCAGTTGTAAAAGCATATCTCTCCCCCCCCTTCGGAAAACAAACAAACTCCATCCTTTATATGTGTACAAAGCGCTATGTGTCACAAAATTCATGGCACACGTCATAGCATGATGGGAAGTTAATTCTTGCGAGTTTCATAGAGGTTTGGACTGGGTCACAGATGGTGAATGGTCCAAAGTGATTACTACCGATAAAAGCTGATAAGGAGATTCAGAACGTGACTATCCCCAATTTCGTTGCAGTAATAGACGCAAGTTGGTTCTGACATAGTATGTATACGAGGCTGTACCGAGACGCAGATGGTGAGCGATGATGATTTCGACTGATAAGAACTGATAAGGAGGGTTAGAACCAGGGTCAATCGTCATGGTGGACAAATTTCAAAAATTTCCCGATCCCCTTCCCTTCTGAATGGTCTCGATACGACCCCCCCCCCTCACACAACACCATTTGTCTGTGTCTTTGTGTTTATACGGATACATAAACATGTATCCTAGGAGGTATAAGATGGGTGAAGGAAGGCAGGTGTTGGAAATCTCTGAACTCAGCTTGTCGAGTTCTACAAGAAACTGCTTTGGAGCTTAACCCTTTCCGGACCGCCTGACACACATGGTGTGTCAGGAACTTCAAGAGCTGATTTTTCCAAGAGTTTGGTTTTTCGATAAAATATTTTATGTTGTTACATACCTATGTAACAGACTCATGCCATATGTATGAAAAAACCTAGACTTTAGGTTTAATCTAGGTTCTAAAATAACCAAAGAGTAAATGGACTTCCACTTTGGGCTCAAAGAAAACAGTTGTAGTTCGCTTGAAAACACTTAAAAACGAAGAATTTGTGAAATATCCTGCTCGTCGTATCTGATTCTTATGGATCCAATCGTTTTGGGCACGTTCTACTCCCTTTTTCTCCATACCAACTTATTTTGAACAATTTTCGTCCCTTCCTCCCTTTTTATGGCCCTTTCCCTTTTTTTGCAAAACAGTTTTCTGTCAAATTAATCTTATATATTCTTCGAGACATGACAAAGACATAAACGAGACAAAATAATGGCTTTAGTGGGAATACAGATTAAATATATGATATTTATGCTTGCCGCGCAGCATGCGGCCGTGAGCGCAAAAAGTGCGCGGTCCGGAAAGGGTTAAAGAACCTCGAACTCGGAGCGCGCCATGCACTCGAGTTCTATCTTGAGAAATAGTTGTTTGTATGTGGTGCGTATGTAACTCTACTTGTGCAAGATTTTTCTATAGGGGGAGAGGGAAACACTTGAACTAATGCCCGCCTATCACTTTACCCACCCATTATGAGATTAATTGATATGTCCAGATTCCACGCTTTCTCTTTCCTTCAAGCGCTAGATTAACGCGTAAACCTTGCGCTTAACTGTCCCTTCTCTCGTGTTCAGATAGGAATCTTAGATCAATGTTTGGCAGGTTTCGTGGGCTTCTTTCAAAAAAATTTCCAATCACTTAAGGGACGTTTCATCGAAATCTGAGAGAGCGACGAATTCTCTTCACTGACAGAGGCTATGGTCACTTGTGTGTAGGAATAAGATGTCATACTATCCCCAGGCAGGGTCAACCGTCCGTTCGAACTGTTCGAACGAAGGGGTCGCATTTTGGTCGGAAGGGGGTCGCAATTTCGAGGACTGCCAGCCACAGGCGCGTGCGTGGCGTATCCGAGGGCAAGAATTGTTTGTGCAGACCGCATTAGATTCGATTAATTATGCACAGAGAGACAGTTTTAGGCAAATTACGGTGTTTTCCTTGAGGAATAAAGAACAGTTGAATGCATCCCTATGAAAGGTTTGACTTCTCGGGGCTGAAATTAAAGTTCTTCGGGACCTAATTTTCTGAGGACGATTCTTCCAGACAACGGTAAAACACATAAGAAAGCAGAAATCTCGTAGTCTTCAAAAATGTCTTCGCCCTCCCCAACAAGTTCTTTGAAGGAAGTTATTATTGCTGAAAGCTCAAAAACTCGCATGTGCTGCTCAAAAACCTATGGGAACAAAATGTTCGAACGTGTGATTTTCTCGAAAAATGAACTTTGAAAAACGGTTTGGTGCTTGTTAGAAAGAGCAAATCCTGTACTTTCACCCATGAAAAAAGTGCATCACAGAAATGAAAATGAAGTGAGTTATGGTCGCTGAAAGCCCAAAAACTCGCTTTTGCACGAAAAATGTTCGAACGGGACAATTTTTTGAAAAAGGGGACAATCACTAAACTTTTTACTGTTTTGTTAGAGAAATATTTGAAGTTTCTGAAACTTTTTACAGATTTCCAAAATGTCGCATACGAAAGATTTTATGGGCCTTCAAAGTTGAAGGTGCGCCTTCTTAGAATTTTGGGTTTTCCACTTCTAACAGAAGTACTTTCCGGAGAGTTAGGCAATCCTTGTAGTTTTCTGAAAGCGCACCTCAGGCACAATCAAAATCTACCTCAACAAGTCAAAAAATACGTCCCAAGAAAGTTATTCCCCTCTAAAATTTTTTCTTCGCCGCGTCCCGTTCTTCCAGCGCCCGGGTGATACCTGCCGCGCTCCAAGGCCGACGCGACGACGCGCAGACGCTTTCTGGCGCAACGGATTCATGTCTAGCACTCTTATTAACAAAAACAGGGGGTCGCAACTGGACCCCCTCGAGAGCTAGGGGGTCGCAAAAATCCCGAAAATGTTCGAACGTGACGGTTGACCCTGTCCCCAGATGAACGAATCTTCATGATGCGGCCCCAAACATCATTCTGCGTCAAGCTGCACTTAAGATCAAGATTATGTAGTTAAATTATTAAAATTAGACTGTTCCAGTGGTGGCCGGGTACAGGGTGCGCCAAAATTATAGTGACAACACATGCGCCTACAAATTGAACCAAAATGCAAAGGTGCTGTTTCCTTTGTCTTCATCTAGGTTTTGATCTTGACGCATACCGATCTGGACGTCTACGTGATTGCGACGAGCAAAGACGACAACGGTGGACCAGAATAGTGAGGCAAGCAATAGCATAGAACCACTCTATGCTGTCTTGCTGTCTCCATTCGAAGGAGGGAGGGCGATGTCAAACTTCTGTCGGTTCATCATCTCTACAAGTTCAACTCGCATATGTCGTTTATGATGCCCTTCCACCGTTAAAATATCGCACGTCATCTGTACTCTTTCTCAACAATCAATGTTTATGCTGATGCAGAACCAAAATCCCAGGCACAGTGACTTAAGGGTAGGTGTTGCGATAAATTAGAAAGGAAGAACAAATCTGTTCACCGTAAAAAGAAGGTAGGCTTCTAGGGAAACAGTACGAGGCGTTTTTGGTAAGGGGCAGCCCGTAAAGACCAAGATACTTTACCGCTGTGCCGGCCACTTTCGTAGCAGCTCCCCCTCAGAGGCCGCGTGAGCAAACCACGGCTGGGGATGGGTCCCCACCCAACCGGGTTTTGCTGCACCCGGCCCCATGGCGACTACTCATGGGATTTACTCATGACTCAGGTCATGAGTAAATGCTGGTGAGAGGCGGACAGCCGTGGTGAGAGCAGAATTTACAGGTTCACATTGATGATGTCACCTGTCCTGGAATCTCGTCCAGCGCGCAAACCAACGGGCACAAAAGAGCCGCACATTCCGAGGTTTAGGTCGTGTCCTTTATTTTTTTTCCACCATTGTACAATTCGCCACCCAAAGTTTCGTTTTCAACGATGACCATTCCATCAATCCATACGTCACCGAGATTGTTGTGAAAGTAAGTGCATCATGGTGTTTTTGGTCAAAACAATGTTTATTCAATAGTAAAAGTCTGTTTGGTCAGGTTGGTAGTAGATTGGTGTCCATTCATTTGTTTCCACATCCATTTTATAGAACATCTCATTCGCTATCCAAACTCCAGTTTGTGCACATTTACTGCCTGTTTGCAATCTGAAACGTACGACGAAATACCACATGATTAGTAATACTTTGGAAAAATTGTTGGTAAATAACATCTTACAAAATTGTTTTTCCTTTTCGGCCACTCTTCTTGTCATACTCGTGAACTTCATAACGTGGAATGAAGGGAACTTCGAAGTACATTCGAGAAAAATCTTCCCCAGTTCCAGGTTCTGGCGGTTGAGTACCATTGAAAAGTTTCGCCGTTTTCAAATAAAAATTCGTTGTAGGACTCTCATTTCTCCGTTCCTGATCACCACGAAGGAACGAAACAAACACACCGATTCCATATTTCGTCAAATTTTTTTTGATGTTCATATCCATGAGTTCATTTATGCGATCGAAATTGGAATGGTACCACTGTCTTCTCGTTATCAATCTGGTTTTCCTATTATACACAACAATTAAATCTCTGTGCGGTTTCAATCCTCTTCCCCATTTGTCCGCTCCAGCTGGACAGTCCTCCTTGTTTACGGTGTGCCGGAACTGAAATATATCGTATGTGTAGCAGATGGCTCGTTGACCATTTTAAACGTTCCTTTCATTACATGATTTATTTGCAGAGTTAGAAAAGAAGCTGCTATCGCCCAAACTGCGATACAGGGGTTATTCATGGTGAGGTTTCAGTTGGTGATAGAAGAAAAGTTCCCAGTCGGCTGCTTGTTACGAAAATGCAAAATTTGTAGTTGACCTTATAATTTTGGAACGCACTGTATTTTACTCAAAAAGAGAGCAGACCAATTAGAGGTCAAATGCTTTTTCCGGCCGTAACTTTCCTTCTGCTTGATCAGATTACTTACGATATTACGATAGTGGATACTAGTAGATTAGGATAGTGCGCTGACAAGATTAGATATGTATTGATCTATTCGCTTGAAGTCGCCCAATCTACTACTCTCCAGCGATTTCAATCGATACGTATCCAATCTTGTCAGCGCAATCTCCTACTCTACTACTATCCTAATATCCTATCGCCTACTATCCTAATCTCCGAGTCACGAACTATGAACGCGGCCTAGTCGCTTAATCGATACATTAGTACATTTTTCGTATCATTCTGATACCTAATCGTATGCACGATCGCGAACTCCAACCACTGCCTTAGAGAGAGGAAGAGACTCCCTTCACTCCTTCACCCCAAGGTGTGTCTATCTATTCTCGCAACGTCATAGAAGTACACTGTCTTCACCCATCTCGTGCCCAGTCATAAAATCGCTTGAATTTGCTGCATGTATAGATCTGCTTCGCTCCGCCCACTGAGCGATCACCTACTCGCCCGATCGATGGTTGCCATTTTCTTCTCAACCTATCGCCTCATCGCCTGTGCATTGTGAATTGTGAACAACATCTAAGGCCTAATAGCGTATCCTTATCTTAAACTCGCATCTATGAGCTATCAAAATGTGATCGATAGTTCCAGTAGTACCTTACACGGTAATTCTTTCCTATCTTTTGCGCTCTGATCGCGAGTGAGACGAATATGAGAATTTTCAAAACGAACATTCTGAAAAAAAGTCATTATGATTCACTCACACAGTAAATAAAACCAGAGCAACGGCAGAGTCTTCTTCATATTCCACGTTACGGATGATCTGGCGATTCGGTTGAAAGAAATGAATGCGTATTTGTTCGGAAGTTCGACTATTCAGACAGACTGGTTATATGCAAATCTACTGAAATGACGTTTGACCATGAGCGCTCCTGGAGATTCGGCCGTTAACCTTATTGATGCAAGTCGATTTTTACAGAAACAGTGCGGCTTAGAAGCGTTCATTGCCACCGCTTATGCCGCATATGCGATGTAATCACTCGCTTTTGCTAGGGCTCCTATGAATTCCTTCAGACCACGTCCTTATTCTATCCGTCGTCACAGGAGTCAAGGTAATGAACCCTGTTCTGGTCTGCGCTGAAGCTCAGCACTCTCAGAATCATCCAAGGACATCGATCTTCTTAAGCGCAGAACCAAACATCAGGCAGCTCACAAATCGATGCAAGAAGTGATCGAGCGTCACAGCGCCGTCACGAAGGAAGTTTCGAGAAAGCAGTTTTCAGTCGCCTTGTCACCACCACAAGAAGACTTCCCCCATCATCCCGCAAGTATTCCGAAAATTTCGACATCTTAGCTCTGCCGTTGTTCCCGTTACAATTCTATCTCACCTTCTAATTCGCTTTATGATAGGAATGAGTTCGCTCATTATGTTTCGATGTTTTCAACTGTTTTTCCTGCATCTCATTCCTTTGACCTCACCTCAACCTTATGATTTGGAGAATTTCGTGACTGGTATATTGTAACGTTACCTTATATCGTTGTTGTTTTGTGGTAATGAAGTTCAATCACCGAAATTTGAAATGAGGTCTCTTGCCGAGTGGTCGGGCCACGACGTTATCTCTGCTGTTTTATTCGAAATTGTGTCAATGCGTTTTACTTGAGGCCAGAAAATTTAACCACCAGGACGAGCTGTTCAGCAACATTACACCGACTACACCAGCTATGGCCGCTAAGATGAGTAGGGGAATTTACAGACAGACCAACTCATACGCGTGAACATATGGTCTCTATGCATCCATTTCTTTCCACCGGATCTCGGAATGGCCTGATCATCGAATCGTCAGTCATGCTTAGGGAACGAACGATGCCTTATCATGGGAGATTGTACTGCTTCGTTGTTGAAGAGAGGATAAAGTGAGAGAAGGAGGTTACGGCGATTGCACTAGAAGAATTTCAGCACAAAAGCAAGGCAAGAAGTCGACGTGTCGACATTCATGAAAGTGAAGTATCCTATCAGCCCCAATGTTATCATTATCAGACATGTTTTGTCCTGTCGTACAGGATAGTTTTTGCTCTTTCTTGGAGAGTCATGATACTAAGCTTCTCCCACATAGAAAAGCTTCAGTGTGCTTTCGCTCTGTGTCGCAGGCTCCTCAGGCAAATTGCGGCAAGGGCAGCCCTGGCTCAACACTCACTTCGTGATGGTCTTGCCAAGAAACAGCGGGAACGAAGTTATTCACCCAAACACTAGCTTCAGCCTTCAGTCGCATGCGTGACTACTTGATTCCTTCCCTTTTCACGAGCCCGACCATGGTCAAGCGAGGCGTCGAGGGAAATTTTGAAATACGACCCCCTCCAAGCGGCCCAAGTCTCATCACAAGTATCATACATATAAAACTTCAACACTCTAGAAAATCTTTCTCTCAAAAGAAGAATCAACCGTACACCATAAAACTTGTCCAACAAGCAGAGAGTCATGGAAAGGTAAATAACAACGGATCCTACAAAAAAGTGGAGCTAAAAACGAGGACCTAGTCATGGAAAATAGCATACAATCACAGCATCCTTTTTCCTTTATTTATTTTGAAAATCTTACATGGGATATCTTATCTTGGCACGGCAAGAGAGAGATTTCAAACAAAAGTCAAACATACATTGCCTTGAACAAATCGGCTTGAAGGCGCAATCGTGGCAGAAGTCGTGGAGCGATTCCCTGTAGTTCATAGGATAGTGCCCTAAGGTCAATGAAAGTAAAATAGTTCTATGTAGCGGTGGTTCGATTGCTACGATGATGTCTGACCAATACTCGGTGCAGTCGAATATTATACATATAATAGGCGATGGAAGGCGCAAACACGACAGAACAGAAGCTCGAGGGAGTAAAAGGCTTCAGAACTACGCCCTCAAGTGAGTCATAGTCATGTCAACGGATTTATTTGCGCGTTGGCCTTATTTCACAAGACCAAGGCAATGAGCGTTGCGAAGAATACATTCTTAAAGCATCGGAACAAAACATAATCCTTATCAGATGAAAAAAGCTCTAAACAACGACATTTCCTTACAAAACATAATTTTCTACAAAAAAAATCTACATATAGATCAGAGAAATCGCGGTGTAGGCGGGATAGACAGACTTGGTAATTCTGTGCACGAAAATAAGCCGGCAAGAGTGCTAGGGCCTTGAAAAGTGAAATGCTACAGCAGCAGATTTCGCTTCTTTTATCAGGCTATTGTCCGGCGCCTTCTCATCTATTGCGTCCTCTAGCCTCCTACTCGCTTCTCAGTGTCCACATTATGAAGATGTAGGAGCCTCTCAACCTGAGCGTTTTCGACGGATTCTTTTCCTTTTTTCTTTACTGCCGGCCCACTTCGCACCGATACATTCGCATTCGTGTGCAAGAGCCACACCAATTTGATCCTGGGCATGCCTTCACGGAGCAATCATAAGTAGAGGTGAGTGTCGGTTGGGAACTATCGTAGCGTTTGTGGTGCCGCAGTGTCGTGTGCTCAACATTTGTTTAGATTGTACCGTACTCTCGAACCCACATTCCACTTCGGAGGTTGAGCAAGAAGCCGTCCATGCTCCTTTAGAAATACTCGTCTCCCTTTTCTCTAGTTTTCCTGTCCCGAAATTCATAGCTTGTCCGTAAAAGTGAAAAACTATTTGAAATCAAATGCAAAAAAACTAACAAACACTTGTATCCTTACTGGTATACATATGTGCTGGTATGGCAATGTACACGTAGAGTCCATATCCGAGAGTTGGGGTGGGCGTGTCACCGGCAAGTGACGTGGCTGCTGCCGCACTTGATAGAAGTTGCGTGGATAAGCTGTTGCCAGCATGCTTTGCTGATATCCAGCGATGTATGTTGGAAGCAGCTTATCCGCGTGACATCTATCAAGTGCGGCTGCTGTCGCAGACACGCCTATTGCAACTCTCGGATATGGACTGTATGTACTGGCCCACAATACAGTACTCTGGTTCGGGGCAGAGTCAACCCTGCGTTGCGCAGTTCGCAACGGCACGTTGAGAGATCCTCAACGCACGCTGTATGGGCGGAGACGCAGACGGCTCGAGCATGCGAGTGTGAATGTTCGCGCGAGAGAACGTGTCTAATCGGGCGAAACTGCGCAACGTGGCCGTTGAGAACTGCGCAACGCAGGGTTGACTCTGGTTCGGGGGGGGGGGGGGCGTTGCAAGGCACGGCTCTGCCACAAGCTGTACCTGACTCGCGCACCCCCCCCCCATCCCCCTGAACTGCCTTCACTCCCTCGGGTTCAGCATGTCCCATTTGGCAGCGTTAGGTAGAGCTGCAGACGAACAGCGCCCCATGCCCCCCCCCTCAACCCGAGCTTCACCCACAACGCAATAGAGTTAATTAATCGACAAATGTGGGATTTTTGTATTGACACAATGAAAACATTGGCATACGACAGGAACTTCCCCAACACAAGTTATTTTTCCCTACAACAACAGGGATACGGTTTGCTAGAACAGCAAGGGACTTTTCCGCGTTTTGTAGGGCGAAACTTTTTTTGCTGCAAGAACCTATTTCCACTCCTGATCAGCAGCGGACCTGAAGTTCCGTTCAGCGAAAAATGAGATTTTGAAGTAGCAGTTGTGAAAAGTGCCGAAGGAAGCAACGATGAAGAATGGGGAATAAATTTCTAGGGGTAATTCTTTGCAGCTGCCCATTCAATGATATTGCGCACTAAATATTTCGCTGTCCCTAGGGTCAGCCGCCCGTTGCGCAAAGTACCATTCACAAAATTAGAAGCTGCCAAGGCGTGGCTAAGTGGCAAAGGAGGACAGACTTTTGGCTGCCACTGCGACTACGCACCACAGACGATTGAATGGCGCATTCCAGAGCGGGATTTCCTTACTGAATACCTCATATTCCAGTGAACACAAGAGAAATTTTTTTGGAGAAATCACCATGCTTTCGGCACAAATCCCAGTGAAGAAAAGTGATCAAGTTAGAGACTCTGAGGATTGAGCTCTGGAGTACTGATCTGGCAGGAGAGGTTTTCCTTTCAAAATAATCTAGAATCTGCTGTAATGTACTGATCTTTTTGATTTCAGCGGTCTTTACCGCATCTCAATGTACCGACTTTGAAGAAACTTATGGCCATTTCAAAGGTTGAAAAGTCGCGTTTCAAGAGAATGGCCCGAAAAAGCCATTGAGGGAAAAAACGGAACAACGGGACGATTTTTCGAAGAGTGGTCATTTAGAAAAATCTTGAACTTTTGAAAGCGTCAATCTTCTAGTTTCTAATTAGCCTTTGAAAATCTGCAAAAAGTTAATATGAAGAAAGTTATGAATGTTTGAATGTCGAAAACTCGCGTGTGCACAAAAAACGGAACAACGGGACGATTTTTTGAATATTGAACATTTGCAACATTTCAAAAACTTTTTAGAAAGAAAACAATTTGAGTTTTCAAAATTTTTGTATCCCATCTCATGAACCGCTTCTGAAGAAAGATATAACCTTTTGAATGAGAGGTTTGTATCGTATATAGCGTTACTGCTGCAAGGTTCATTCACACAATTCGAAAACTTGTTACGTTTCTGGAAGTATTAGGTCGGTCCACAAGTCTTGCAACAAATCACATTAATGCTAAATTTTTTTTGAGAAATCCGAAAATTTCGCAACATGGTTAGTGACGTAGCACCCACTTTCGCAATTTCGGCCAACCGCTCAGCTCATTGTATCGCTGTCCGTTATGGATATT